GACCAAATCCTGCCCGAGGCCGAGGCGCGCCTGGGCCAGGCCGGCTTCATGCAGCGCCAGTTCGGGGCCATGCTCCAGCCCGGGGTCAACAAATTCTCCCTGAGGATGTTCGGCAGCCAGAAAGCCGTGGAGCGCGAGCAAGAGAGGGTTAAGTCGGCCGGCTTCTGGATCATCCACCCCTACAGCGACTTCAGGTAAGGAGCCCCGCGGTGGCCCTCGGGTGCCCTGCGCGACCGCGGGCGCGCCTCCTCTCCCGGCCCGGCCTCGCCACCGGAGTTAACTTTCCTTGTTGGAGAAGCGGGCGCCTCCGGGCTCCGAGGCACCCCCGGGCCTTCCCCTGCAGCGCGCCGGGAACTTTCCTCCGTGTCAGGCACCCGTCTCCTGGGCCGCACTGGAGGCGGGCTGGAAAGGTGCTCCGAGCCTGGCCTAGCCCCGTCGGCTGCCAGGATAGGGCTCTGCCACCTTAAGGCACACGTTCCACCTCCCCCTGCAAGGCCGCAGAGTCAGGGGGGCCATCCTAGGGGCCACTCCAGACCACTCAGCCTGCAGAGCAGGGCCCTGAAGAGAGAAAGACCACTCGGTAGCCGGGCCACCTCCTTGGGTGCTGACTGTGGGTGTTGTTGTCTGCCTGTGGGTGCCCTGGGACACCACAGCTGGACCCCGGAGGGCTGAGGTCACTGGGGTCTGGAACCCAAGATGGAAGCCCTCTGCACCCACCTTAGCTCGCGGCCCTGTCCCTCATGCTGTGGGGTGGGCCAGGAGTAGGCACCTGGGCTGCTGGCCTCTGGACTGGCAGGACAAAATGACCTTGCTCTTGGTGGCCGGTGAAGATGCCTGGTGTTGATGGATGAGTAGTTGTCTGGGATCCACGCTTGTCCAGTGAGCCCTCCCCACCCCAGAGGCCCAAGTTCCCGAGCTGCTAGGTCTCTCCTGGACCTGTCATAGGTCCCCCAACCAGAGGTGTGACTGCCAGTCAGGGAGAGGGACCCTGCCCCCTTCCACGGCACCAGAGTCAGGTGCCACGAACTGCAGATGCCGCTGGGGGCTTGTGGGCATGTCATGCAGGAAGAGGGTTGTTGTTCACCGCTGGGGCTGGGATCAGGGATGCCCTTACCCCATTCAAGGTCCTGAGGTCGTTCTCCCTGGGGCTTTCCTGATACCTAAGACTGAGAAGGGGTCTGGGACACACACACCTTTGGGCGCTGGGCTTCACTCCCTCCTTCTCTGGGCTCGGCCCCCTGCTCACCTCCCTTCCTGGCCTCCCCTGCTTGCCTGCCTATATAAATGAGCATCTTGCCAACACAGAGCCCTCTTTGCAAACTCCAGGGAAGCTGGGTTTGTAATGAGAGCAAAGCCGTTTTCCATCCAATGAGAGAGACTTCTCGCACCGGGAATGACCAGTCAGACAAAACTCGATGGCTTAAAATAGGTGGTGAGCGGTGGTCCCTTCCCCCCTTTTTTCTTTTGAGCCACCGGTCTTCCTAAGCCCTGATATCCAGGGTTTCCATTACCAGAAGGTGAAGGAGACCCAAGGCCAGGCTAAATAGGCAGAGCTGTGGTCACCAGATTGTGTGAGCGAACGTGATACCCTCCCATCAGAAACCATGGCTGGTCCCTAGAGCCAGGTTCCTGGGGAGTGGGCTTCTCTCTGGCTAGTCCCTGACCTGCGGCTCCCTGGCTGAGCCAGGGAGGAGTGGGCAGGAGCCATGTCCCCTCCTCTCCCACCCCAGGGTCCTAGGCTTCCCCTCCTCCCTCTGACTCCTCAGGGGTGGTGACACATAAGATGTTCCAGTGCCAACCGCTTGAGACTGTTCAAGGGCCCTCTCCTCCCTTGCTCCCTGCTGTCCTGTTGTCGGAAACCTCTGTTCAGGGCTCTCATCACCAAGCACATTGCCTAGGGTGGGAGTGGGGAGGCCCCGGGGAGCCGACCCCAGGCATGCCTGGCCTTCCATCAACAACAAGCATTGGAAGAGAACCTTCTGGACCCCGGGCCTTGCCCTTTGGGTCTCCCTTACCTTAGATGAAGAGTTAGGACTGACTGATTTCTTCCAGTGGGATGTTGCCCACCGCTCTGGTCTAACCTCTGCCTGTCCTGGCATATAGAATCTCCTACTAACTGCAGGCTGCCTGGGACATGGCAGCTGGAAGGCAGGTGGGGATGGGGGTGGGGGTGCAGCAGATTGTTGAATGGGTGGCAGGAAAAGGGTCAGATAAGGCTTTGAATTTGGGTTTGTGTAACAAGCCATGGGGGCTGGCGGCTGCAAGCTACAGTCCTCTGTGCAGCATGTGACTGTCAGGAGCTGAGTGGGGTGTGAGGGAAGAAATCCAAGAAAGACCACCTGAGTGTGTGTCTGGAGGGATGGTGGTTGGGTCTCTCCTGCCTCCAGGCCAAAACACCTAGTCTCATCTTCAGAAGGTCAAAGAGGCAAGGGCCTAGCTAAGTCTTGGAAGCTTAGAAAACCCAGCACTCGACTCCATCGAGCCCAACCCCACCCCACAGCACCCAAGCCTGGGTCCCTAGAGTCCCAGCCACTGGCCTTGGGCCTCTGTATGGAACTAGTCTCCGTGGCCCATCATGGGCTTCTCCAGAGCTTCTGCAAGCTGTACTCAGGCCGGTTGAGGATTTATTCATCATTTTGATGGACAGGAAGCATTGATCCAGGAGAATTGGTTTAATAAAGAATCGCCAGCAAACCATGATAGATTGAGTTTGCGGTTTGGAGTTCAGGGCTGGCTGTGACAGGCTGCTTCCGGCATCTCCCGTTTCTGGGGGAGGAAGGCTGGTGTCTTGTCCAGGGCTGGAGTGGGCTGTACTCTGAAGCACCAGCATATCCTGGGCCACAGCTAATGATATGCTTTTCTGCTGGGGGTGGGGTTCTGCTTCTGATCGCCATCCCGCCCCCATCTCCCCAACAACATGCTCCGGTTACCCTCATGGCTCCTCTGGGCTCCACGGGCCTGTCTGTCCTCCCCTCCCCTCCCACTCCCCCTTTGCCTTTTGCTACTTGTATATGGTGTATTAAGGGAAGAGGCCAGGACACAGTGGCCCCTTGGGACATTGCTCCCGGGTTCCTGCCCAAGGCTGGCTGGGTTCTTGGGTCCTGGATGGGTCCTTCCTTCCACACAAGCCAAGTCCTGGAGAACCTGGAACAACTACACATAGTATCTGGATAATCTTGATTTTCCAAGAGGAGAGGAACAGAGTGAAGCTCCGAGTGCAGATGTCACTGGTTTTGTTCTCAGAAGGCCTGGGCATGTGTATCGAGGTGTCTGTCTAAGTGAGTGTTGGAGCTGTGTGGGTGGATGTGGGGCTGGTGGGGAAGTCCCCGTCGCTTCTGGGATGATGGTTGTGCCCCCGAAGCTAGCTCAGCCTCAAGAACGGAGGCAGGCAGAAGCTTCCTTACCCTCTCCTAGTCCTAGCCTCCTGAAGCCGCCAGGAAGGGAAGGGAAGGAAAGAGAGGCCCTTAAAGTGTCCTCTCCTCAGGGCAGAAACAGCTGGGCTCGAAATCTTGGAAACTGGGCCAGTGGCCTGGTGGGTCCCAGGGGTTGCCTGAACTGACTTCCTGCTGTTCTTCCTGGCACCCCGTCACTGCCATTACTCACCTCCCATCACCTCCCCAGCACTGGCTGCCATGGGGCCCTGCTTGGGCCACGAGCCTTTTCTGAGCCACAGTTTAAAAAATAGGAGTCCTAGTCGGGCTCGGTGGCTCAGCCTATAATTCCGCGCCTTTGGGAGGCTGAGGTGAGTGGATTGACTGAGCCCGCGGGTTCGAGACCCACCTGGGCAGTGAGACCTCATCTCTACAATAAATCAAAAAATCAGCCAGGCGTGGAAGCGCACACCTGTAATTCCGGCTACTTAGGAGGCTGAGGCGGAAGGATTGCCAGAACCCAGCAGGTTGAGGCTGTGGTGGCCGGGAGTGGCCATTGCACCCCAGTCTGGGTGACAGAGTGAGACTCCAACTCAAAAAAATGGGAGTCCTGTTGCCTGTCACCATGTCGGACACGGATCGCACAACCGTGGCAGCCCCACAGAGGTGAGGCACGACCCTGAGCTGTCAGAGGCTGTGACACAGCAATGTCGCACCTCCGGGCCCCACTGCTCTTTCCTGGGGTCCTGGGCAGATCACTGGGCCTCTGTCCTTGGCTCAGGCTGGGGGAGTCCAGAACCTGCTTGGGGTCAGAGACCTCCCTAAGAACCTGCTAGAAACTATAGAGTCTCTACCTGAGGAGCAGGATACACTGACATCCAGACACATGCAGGGTAGCTTCTGGTGTCTGTGGCCCTCTAAGTTGGGGACCATCTGGGGACTTGAGGTTGTGCACCCCACTTCAGGTCATCCCAGAGGGAGCCTGGGCCTGGCCTAGTGGGAGGCACTGGAGCCTGGTGGTGGGGTCTTTGTAGTCTGGGGCTTGGGCCCCCATTGCCAACAGGATAGAAATGAAATCAGGGGTCAGAGTTAGATGCCTGGAGAAGGAAGGGGGGTTCTGCCTGGAGACTTTTCTGTCAACTCTGTCTACTCCCGTCTCCCTCCCTGGGATGGACTGTTCAGGCAGGAGGTTGTTAAAGGTGAAGAGGCAGCAGCCTGGCTCTGGGCCTGGGGGTTCGATGGCTCCTTCTTGGATGAGTCTTCCTGGGAGCCATTGCCTGGGAACGCTGTTCCTTGCTGTCAGCACAGAAAGCCAGGCCAAAACATGTGGGCACCGGTGGGAGAAGGGTGCCGAGTTCCAGAGGGGAATTCCAAGATGAGCTGCCTGGTGGTGCCATTGGCTGGCACAGTGGGCAGCAGGGTCCTTCAGGGATGACATGTGCCCCTCTTAAGGAGGCAGGGGCTGTTGGAGCTGGGGCTGAGGCGCTCCCAGGATGCTGGGTGCACCGAAACCTATTGGGGCAGAGGGCCAGGACCACATGCTGCCTGGCTAGAAAGGCCTGGGTGCCAGGTTCCCCCTGCCACAGGGCTCCAGTCTCTGGTCTGGTGGCTGCATGAACAGGCCTTACCTCACTGTTCCTTAGTGACTGTGAGCGTGAGGCTTTGGGGCTGTCAGGTTGCCTACCTGGCATGTCCAACAGTGCTGGTCTGTCTGCCTGTTCATCTGTCCCATCTCCCATGCTTTAAGGCCCAGTGTCCCTGTGTCTCCTGGGACACCCTCCCTGGCCACTCTGGCCTCTGTCCATCTCTCCCTCCCTGGTCAC